TTAACGGGTTTTTGTTGTTGTTTGAAACATCGCATTATTTCACTGCGGTTTACAGAAATACAACGCTCGCTATCGTACATGGGAGCGCAAATGGAAGGAAGCAAGGAAAACGGTACTGGGAAGAATCTGCACCTGCTTATCGAAAGTGCAACCTCACCTCGTCTTAATTCGTATCAGTCGGATCATAACACGATCAGTCCAAATTCGTGCAGTTTACAGCTCAGTCAGCCCTCATCGCCTGTCATCGGTAAGGTTTTTTTGCATATTTTTGTTTCTAACAAGTAGAATTCTCGGTTAATCTGATATAAGTTTTGTGCATGATGAGTGGAATAGTGTTAACAGAAACTGGTCGTGGAAGGGGTGGGGGTGAAGAGCAAAAAAGAATGGAGGCCCGGAAGAAAAAAGAAGGAATGGTCGTCATTCCTTTCCGTGTAGTAATAAAGAAAAAAGGTCCGGAAAAACTATCTTAGGCGTTTTTTGGCTTCCACCACTGCAAAACAGAAATCTTTCTCAAACCCTTGGTTTATATACTTACTCGCTTGCATCTCTCTTCCTGCAGATGATAACACACAGCCACAGCTGAATTCATCGCCATCGGTGAATGGTGCGAGCCCGTCGTACACGAATGTTGGCCCGTTGAACAGAACCACATCCGATGAGAATGGCTTGTCTTCACGTTTCTTCATGCTCAAGAAGGATTCGGAGCGACGCAACACTCTTGCTAGATTTATGCTCGATTATAAAACTGAGGTTGTGTTTGTTTGTTTTTTTTTCTGGCTATTCACCGCTTATTTTTTCAAACACTTCTGTTTCGAAAAACCGTTCATTACATTAGTTATTGTTGAGTTTTTTACTTCTTTTTTTATATTTTTTGCATTTTTTATAGATTTTTCTAATAGTAGCCCTCTTGATTTATTATAATTCCTCAGAAATGCAGAGCATATATCACTGAATTTTTTTAAAAAGGATCATTTTCTGATAGCAAGAGAGATAGGGTAAAAGAAAGGCGACAACCGACTGATAAATTTTCTCATTTCAGATCATTGATAATTGGTATGACCACCTCGCGAATTGCCAGCTCCCTGGTGATTTGGTCGTTACAAAAGTAAGTTGCAAAATACATTTTTGACACAAATTTTCCGCATTGGCCTCGAAATATTGTAATATTTTTTTTTTGTTTTGCCACTTTGGCCAGCTGCCATATTGTTGCTGATCTTTGTGCCTTCATAACAGTAAATGATTCCTCCACACTTGCTGTGACTGAAGGTTCGCCATCAAGTGTAGTTCGATGATAGCAGTTGTGTGGGTTTATCACTGGTGATCGCGGCTTATGATCTCTCGCTTATCTTTTTCCTTTTACAAAGAAATTTGAGATTTATGTATATGAGTCGTTATCCGTGGAGAAAAAGGGGTTTTAAAACAGCTGGAATTGATATAGACACGGGACTATGGATGTAAAAGAGCTAAATGTTAAGACAGTCAAGTGATTCTGCATTTTTATGCGTTTTTTGCGTCTATGCAATGCCAAAACGCATATTGTCGAGAGGTCTTGTGTGCGTGTGCGCCTGAGGAGGGGGAAGGTGAAACTACAGGGGTGAAACTTTTGGAACTCTACCTGGGAAGCTAGAAGGCTGATATTTCCCCGATCCACGTAGAATCTAGTGACTTCAAACTGTCCCTCTAGTTATGCGTGGTTCACACGTACGGGCCGGTGGAAATTTTTGGCGGTCAAGTTGTTAATTTAAAAACCAGAAAAGCTTGAAA